ATCTATCTATCTATCTATCTATCTATCTATCTATCTATCTATCTATCTATCCATCTATCTTGAGTTTTGCAAATTTCATTAAAGTTTCTAACCATCTAACTTTCAGGGATTCTTATCTTGGTTGTGTTTTATGTATTTCTTTCTGTTTTCCCTTCCCCGGCTTAGGGCAGAATCTATGGTGTTCTGACAGAACCAGCTGGAATGTGCCTTGTTCAAGCTTACACACTTTATGGTATACTCTGAGATTCCAGTGCTTCATGACACTGTGGTCAGCCTCTACTTTCCACAAACACTGAACTCTGAGTTCTTCCTGTCCTGTGCCCTCTGTGAACATGGGATTTAGGCTGCTTCCTCCTGAGAGATTATCATAGTGGGCAGAAATTTGGTTATTACTATTGCCTTCTGATTATGGCAAAGGTGATTAAAGCTAATAGTTGGCCAAATTTGAAACAGAGAAGTTATTGCACATGATTCAGGCTGGCCTAGCCTAATATGATGGGACCCTATGAAGAAGAGCATTTCCTTTGCTTGGTCCTGGAAGTTGAATGCTTGGAGGAAGGGGGGTGGGTTTAAAGGAGACATGCATCAGAAAACCAAAGAGCTGAGTCCTACAGTCAAGACTGGCAAATTCAGCCAGTAGCCTGAATGAATCTGGAAGCAGAGTCTTCCTTGAAGCCTCCAGCTAAGAGCCCAGCCCAGCTGACATCTGAACTCAGTCTTAGCAGGCTCTAAGCAGAGCCTGGATCTGAGTCACACAACTGTGAGGTAATTAGTGGGTGCTGTTTTAGGCTGTGGAGTTTGTGGTAAGATGTTACAGCAAGAAAAAAAAAACCTAACTTAATCTTCAAGATTCCTGTTCCTTTAACCAGTCTTAAGGAATATTCCACCCTGAGGTCCAGAAGTTTCTGTTCTTTCACCTCTAAGCCTGTGTAAATGGACAGAACATTTGCCTCCAAGTGAATTGTTGGTGAAGTCCTAAGAGACCTATCTTTTGTAAACAAAAAGAGGCAGAGGTTTTTGATGACTCCTGCAATTCAAATAGCTTCATGTTCGGGCAACGCAAACATTTCAGTTATTTCCTGAAATAACTGAAAAATGGGAGGGATGACGAGTTCAGTACCCCGAATGACTATTTCAATCACATTTCCTGCCATATACTGAAGTACCTTGCTTGGAGCTTGTTACACACTGAGGTGGTGGGTTTTTGGGTTTGTTTTTTTTTTTTGACTAAAAGAATTGACTTTTATTTTTGTCACTACAGAATCTTGAGATTGTGTTCTAGCCTCGCTACCTAGCACAATTCCAAACCGTGAAAGCACTGTCTTCAACACAGTGATGGGAACTGCTCCACCACTGGAGGACCCCATACAGTGACATCCTGGAAGAGCAGAGGCAGATGAAGATGCACATCTGACCTTGAAACTTATTTTCCTGCATCCAGGCAACTGGAGCTGGCCCAGTCTCAGTGTACTTGTGCTGCTGCAGAGGAGGAGTCTATGGAGTGGCAGGAGTCACTCACTCTAACAGAGCCCCCAAGGGGGTCAAGTGTGCCTGGTACATTGTACTGACAATAAGCTTATTTCACCTCCCTGAGTCCGTGAGGTAAGTGATGAAGCTGTTCACGTCCTACCTCTCCTCCATCCTAGTTCCTTGTGATTTGAGGGCAGAGATGGTAGAAAAGGCTCTTGAGGAACCGGTACCTGTTTTCTTCCAGCATTCTATGTTTCAGCTCTCCTCACCAAATGTGTATGTGTGCACCTACTATGTATCAGGCAGTTTGGGCCCTGGCAATATAGAGATGAACGAGGTAAACCCAGTGCTAACATTATGAATCTTATATTTTATTAACAAGTCAGAAAATAATTACATATTTTAAAATGTTTTAAAGTGCAATAATCCTCTTAATCCCTCCCAATAATGACACTTATTATCTAGCTGTACTCTAAGTTACACATCAGGTCCATTTTAAAATGCCACCTGGCCCAGCTCAGACCTGAAGTCTGGCTATGCTCTGAAGCAGCTGAAGTGGTGACCTAGAGTGAACGTAGTTCAGAAATGATTATCAGCCTTCTTTCCCTGTAACTCCAACACTGTCCAGTGCCAGCAGACCTCCTTTAAATGTACAAAGGTTCCCCCAATAGTTCCAGTGCATTACACTGTTCTCTGTGATCATGGGTGAAGTGAGAGTAAGTCATAGTTCCGCTTATGAGGATGCACATGTGTGCAGAAGACAGGAACATTTTATGTGGTACTCAGTCTTGAGCCTGTGTGTGTGTGTGTGTGTGTGTGTGCACTTGCTGATGAGTATGGGACATATGTATGCTATGACCCACATCCCTAGCTAGGCATCTATAGATCAATCATCTAAGTTTCTGGAACCTAGCAAATAGGATGACAATTCCTGCAGGCAGATTTTCCTACCACTCTGGATTTACTTGAGCTGGGAGTCCTAGGGTCAGGGTGGGGTCATTATATGCCCGAGGGTCCCTCCTGGCCAGCCTTTCCCTCTCCATCCTTAGACGTTCCTTCTCCAGGCTCAGCCTCATCATCAGCCTCACCCATGTCCTCTGGCATCGGCCACTCTCGAGTCTGCCACTCCAGCCTTTCGATGCGGTAAGCTATCTTCAGTGCGCTGGACTCCAGCTCAGCCAGGAGGCGAGCAAACTTGGTCTGTAGATCATCAAGCTGCTGGTCGAGGCCTTTCAGTCGAGACTCTGTGGCCTCCTGGAGGGCGATCTCAGCTGCCTCAGCATTCACATCCAACTTATTCATTTTGAGCAAGATTTCACGGCCCTTCTCCTCCATGACCGCCTGGGCCTGTGGGTACTCACTCAGCACCTCCCGAAGATCTTCCTTGCTGAGGCAGAACAGGTCTGAATAACCTAGGCTCTTGATGTTGGCTGTTCGTCGGTTTCCAGACATGTTCCCTGTGGTCCAAGGACAGACACACATGGGGGTGGGGTGGTGGGGAGAGCAGTTAGTAGAGACAGCAAGGTCATATTTCACTCCTGAACCAGGATATAATCTCCACATTGGTGCGTCTGAACCACTTTTCCTGCCTTGTATTTTTCATTTGGTAATGTGCTAGTGACCGAGCCCTGTGCTTATCAGTAACCTCCCTTGGTAGACGATTAATGGGTAGTTATAGAACAACATGGCTGGTGCAGTAATTTTTAGCTGGTCTGTTGGTACTTCTACTAGTGCCAGTGGAACATGACTGCTTTGTTTTCTAAGGATCCATCCCACCCACTGACATTGGCTCAACTGCTTCCCAGGCAACAGATAATCCACATCCTGCTTCTCTTCTGAGTCCTGTAGCAACTCAGACAAGGGCCAGATCTCCTTAATCTATGTGCTCCAAAGAACCATCTTGTCCCAGGGTTCTGCCATCCTGTCCCTAGCAGTTTCCCTTGGAGACTTACCTTTGATATTGATGATACTGATCTCCCCAAAGTAGAGCCCTGCACCAAGCACAGCATACTGTGTGACACCATCATCTGCCACCACAGCCAGCTGGCCCTCACGGATGATGTACATCTCTCTGCCAATGTCCCCTTTTCGGCATACATATTCGCCTGGTGAGTAGGTCTGGGGCTGTAGCTTCAGCACCAGCTCTTCCAGCAAGCTGGCTTCACAGTTCTGGAAGATTTGTACTCGGCTCAGGGTAGACAGGTGTACGGACACAGCAACCTCTGCCCGCAGCCGCTCAGGCAAGTGCTGCAAGATGGCTACCTCATTGGTCATCTTCTTGTTGATCTGCAGATGCTGGTACCTGGGAGAAAAGCAGTACCATTTCCTCACTGGAATTTAGTGTCTGCCTCTGCCCGCTCAGCAGGACTCAGTTTGGCCAAGAATCCAGCCACACTGGCTTCTCCTAAGAGCAACGGGATCCCTTTTCTTTGTTACAGACATCATCTTTTCTACTTCAAGGAAGGTGTAGAGGCCCCGACCACTTGATGTAGATAGACACATTTCTTTTCCCTCCCATTAGGCTCCACCCCCAGCCTCAGTGTCTTGTAGCACTTCCACACTGAGTTACTTTAGTCAGCAAGCTCCCACTCTCTTCAACAGGCATTGTGGTGGCTGACATTGAGACATTTCCTTTATATAGTTTGCATTATTATGATATAATCAACCATCTGTTGGCCATCTCCTGCCCTTCTTACCCAATCCTTTCAGAGCCTCCCCAATCCTCTCAGTCAGTACCAGCTCTCATTCTCTGGTCTCTGTGTCACTCTTTTATACAAATTCCACTCTCTGTCAGTCTCTTGCCTATTCTCTTCTCCTAGTCCAGATTCCCTCAGTAGAAGACACCATTTTCTAAGCCCATTCATAAGCAGACATATGTGAATGAATGCCACCTTTCAGAAGGGAGTAAGACCAGCGTTACTGGGCTCAGGTCCTAAGGCATATCTCCCCCGTCTACAACCAGACCTCTCACCAGTCGATAACTCGCCGCTCCAGCCTCCGATTGACATGCTGCAGCTTCATGTACTTCTTTACCAGAGCGTGGTCTGGGTAGAAGGCCGCATCTGCAGTGTTCATGTTATAAATGACAGAGCTCATGCTACCCATGATGGTGGCGAAACCCATGACGGCCAGCAGGAAGTCACCCACCATGAAGAGGTACTCTTCTTCTCGGGCTGGCAGTGGCGTGTCACCCACAGTGGTCAGGATCAGAGTGGAGAAGTAGAAGCTGTAGAGATACTGGCGCCGCAAGCGCTCAAAGCCAGGCTGCGCGGGGTCTGGGTACACCCATGCATCCCGTCCGAAGCCCAGGTACCTTGACAGAGCAAAGTATAAGCAGCTGTTCCAGTGGATGACGACAAAAATGTAGAGCATCAGCTTGGCTATGCGGAAGGCATTTGGGTAAGCTGTGCGGGTCTCTGTACGGTCGAAAGCCTCGAAGAGGCGGGGCACTCGGAGAAAGCGGTTTAGCCGGAGTGTAGGGATGTGGGGGCCCAGCTGCACGTAAGCCGCATCTGTGGGGACCAGGGAGGCCAGGTCCAACAGGAAGCTCCAGGTGCGGACATAGCGACTGGCGATCATACCTTTGTCTACCACCAGGATGCCCTGCTCTAGGAATCCTAGGAGAAAAGAGGCAGATGGGCTAGGGTCAACCATGGGTAGGTCAGCGGCAGACTGGATATGTTGAGTATGCCAAGGCCAGACATGAAGGCAGGTTTCTGGGGTGAGCACTGTGTTGTCAAACACAGTGGCAAGTGACAGTGCAGCCCTAGAGGTGGCTGCATTAACACTTTCTTGGGGAAAGGTTAGTCCTAGGGACACACTGACCTGTGTGGAAGCGTACCCCGATATCCAGTAGGTACAGAAGGTCACTGGTGTAGTCCAGCACGAACCAGGCCACCAAGTAACTGTGCTGCAAGTCAGGAAAGCAGGCCCTGCAGAGTAGGGGCAGAGGGGATTTGCTTAAAGGTACCAACTATATGTAACTGGGTTTTCAGGACAGGTCCCTCAGTCCTCTACCCTGAGCCCTTCCAGGGAAGACACCTCTCCTTTAGGTCTCACCCTCTAGGCCTGTCCTTCTCTTAAAGAACCTCATTTTAGGACCCCTGCCAAACCTGCATACAACGATGATGAGATTATACATGATTGGGAAGACCATCGTGTTCAGCCACCAGTAGTAATAGTCCCCAGATGGGTCTAGGACAGGCAGCCACTTCCTGTAGGGAGGAAGAGACTCCTCTCATTTATCCACCAAACATTCAGTGCTTGAGTTATGACCAAGATACCGAGAAGGAAGCAAGCCCCAGGGAGTGAGGTGATTAGACTCCACACAGAGGACTAGATTTCTCACCTGGCTTTGGCTGGGGCTGGGGGTGTGGACTCTGTTGTCTTCACTTTGCTGTCCTGGCTCATGTTTCTGTAGCGTGGTCCTAGCCTGTAGAATATCCGGTACTTCTCCAATTATAGGTGGCTTGAGAAAGTGCCTGGCTTCCTGGAAGAGGCTGCCCTGGGGCTCCAGCTGTGTCTTTTTTGAAGCTCTTAGCAACACAGCTAAAGCTAGCAGGTATGGAGTAGGTGGAGGCACCTTAGCTCCGACACCCTGCCCTGTCTCCCAGGGCCAAGACTGGTTTACACCTGCCCAGCTAAACACCTTTAATGAGGTCCCTGGAGGTGGTGGGAGGTGGATGCTTTGGAAGGAAGCTTCACTTTCGTTGTTGTCTTCTTTTGCCTTTCCTAAGCCTGCCTTCATTGTCGGCTGCCTTCGTCGTTGGTTTGAATTCTGTTTCACTTTATGAAGGCTCTCTGTTTGGGCCTAGTTATTTATTTAACAATTATGTGCCGAGTGGCTCCTTCATGTCAGGTATTAAACTAGTCTCTAGAGACAACAGGGTGCCTCTCACTCAGAGGTGTTTTCCTTAGCCACATCTTTACCTACATATATATCAGCTAACCTTCAGGTCTGTGTGGCCAGTCATCTTACGCGCTACTTTTGTTCCTACTATTAGCTCTCATGCACAACACCACCAGCTATTGGACATATTTTGTGTACCCTCAACCTCTTTCAAATTTTCTTGTGAACTTTTCATAACAAAACACATATATTTCCTATAAATTTTCTCCCAGACTGACGTCCCTGCTGCCATTACTATGGAGGTCAGAGGTCAGAGTACAACTTTGGAGTCGGTTGGTGCATCTAGAGAACAAATTTCTGTGGTGAGGCTCATGTTTTTACCTGCTGAGTCATCTTGCTAGCCTGTTCCCCCCTCCTGATCACCCAAATTCTAAAGAGAACGAGAGGGAACAGGAAAGGGGGAGTAGTGGAGAGAATGAGACTGAGTGGTGGGCAGAGGCCAGGTCAGGAGAAATTGCCAGCCATGAAATTAATTTGGATTTTTTTTTCAAAGACAACCAGGAACCTGTAATCTGTTTTGTATAGTTATGGGGTAGTGTCAGTTTTATATTTTTGGAGTTTCTTGAAAGAAATATCTATATCCCTAAGAAATTTTTTCAAAATGCTTTTATCTGTAGCTTTTGTAATGCCACCATTTCCTGGTGTTATGTTTATTTCTTAGTCCCTTTTACAAGTGTCTTCGCCCATTCCCTCTAGGTTAGTGTTTCCTAGAGCTCTTAGATCTCTCTCTTTCATTTCCTCTTCCACACATGTTCTGGCTGATCTTGGTCACCCACAGAGTTACTTTGCTATCTAGTAATTCTCATGAACTCCTTTGAGCTTTGGTCATCCACAGGTCTAACTAACTGCATACTAGATCCCACTTTGACACCTCAATAATCACACCGTGTTAGTCACTGTTCTAAGGCTGTGAAGAGACTCCACCACCAGGGCAACTCTTATAAATGATTTGCCATGTGTGGTTTAATCCCATTACTCACAGAAGGCAAAGACAGGTGTATCTTTGTGAGTTCAAGGCCAGCCTGGTCTACAAAGTGAATTCCAGGACAGCTAGGACTGTCACACAGAGGAAACTCTGTCTCAAAAACACCAAACCAAACCAACTAACCAACCAACCAGAAAAAAAAAAAAACCCATTCAAATGGGGGCTTCTTTACAGTTTCAGAGGTTTGGTCCATTAGCATTATGGCCAGAAGCATGGCACCAGGAATGCCAGGTAAGCTGCAGGAGAAGTAGTTGAGAGCTAAAGAGTTGAGTGCCCATTGGTGGGCACTGTCTCCAACAAGGACGAACCTTCCAATCTTCCTAATCATTTAAAAGAGTTCCACTCCATGGTGACAAAGCATTCAAGTATATGAGCCTATGGAGACCATTCTTATTCAAACCACCACAGTCCCCTTCTACCCACTGTATCTTTTTCTTTTCAACACCCATTTTGTCCTTTCAGTCAAAAACCTGGTACTAATCATTTAGTATTATGTAATGTGGTGTATATTTTTTAAAAAATGACTACAATTTTTTTTGATGTTTGTCACTTTTGACTGTCAGCTGATAGAGTACACTAAGGGTGATGCTGTGAGACATCTCAGGTTAGACCACCAAAGACATTGCTACTTTCTGGGTAGAATGGTATGCATATTGTGATCACTGCCTCTCAGGATTCTGCTCTCTTAGATACTGTCTATCACGTTGTGAGAAACTTGAGAAGTCCGAGCTGAGTTCTGTCTTTCAGTTGTTCCACTCAAGCAGTGAAGACACAATTGAAGACATCTTTAGATGATTCCAATGTTGGCTGGAGTCACTCTCAGTCTTCCTAGAAGAAGCTCCAGATATCATGGGATAGAAATAAGCCACTTCTGCTGCACCTTATTGGAGTTACAGAATAACAGGCTTTCTGGTTTGTGCCACTAACTTGGAGTGGTTTGTTACTTAGTTCTCTGGTTGGGACCTTACTTGTACCCCACAGGCTATGTGTTGAGGTCTTGGTCAATACCTTCTGGTACAAATGAAGGACAGTAGAACTTTTAGGAAGGGGACAGGTAGCATGCCACTGAGGTATGCCCTTGAAAAGGATGTTGGGGTTCTAACACTTTTCTATCTTACCCTTTACTCAAGGATGGCATGTGGTAACCAGCATCCTCTGCCATACACTCTGTGGCATGACCTACTTCCTCACCACAGCTCCAAAAGTAACCATGGGCAGAAATTTCTGAGCCGAGATAAACTTTTTTAAAGTTATTAATCTCATTTTGTAACAGTGATGGACAGCTGACTAGTACATCCGGCATTGTAACTACCGCTATTGCTGTAACAACAGTAATAGAGAAATATATAGCGTGATACACTTTCACAAACTGAACTTACCCAGCTCAGCACTTGGATCGAGAAGTAGAACTATTATTGGCCTGAGGAGTCACTCTTCTCCTTTCCAGTCACTGTTACTCCCACTTCATAACAATCCTCCCAGTTCTGGAAATTTGTGAGTATGCCCTGGAGTACTATGTGTGTGTGTGTGTGTGTGTGTGCACATGTATGTGTGCACATCTATGTGCACGTGGAGGTCTGAGACTGATGGAAGGAATCATACTTGTTTGTTCTTCCATCTGATTTAATGAGACAGGTTCTCTCAATAAAACCGAGTTACCTTCCAAGGTCAGATGCAGGTAGATCACCACACCTGCCCAGCATTTATGTAGATTCTGGGGAATTTGAACTCTGGCTGTCGTACTTGCTCAGTCAGTGTTTAACCATGATGGTATCTCTCCAGTTCCCTTAGTTTTTGAATTTATATAGGATATCAATATTTAATTCTTCCCCTTCCCTTTCACAGTTACCTAATTCTCAAACCCTTTTAATGTACACATACTCCCTTTCCTATATTCTTACGATCCTATTTTGGGCTTTGCTTTTGAATGACCATTTGCAAAGGTGCCCTGTCCACGTGACCATGTATAAAATTGTATCTCTCTATTATTCCAAGAATACAATATAGACTAACATGGACAACCCATCCTGCAGTATTATATTTTCTGTTTTCATTCTCATCTGATCTCTGCTTTGCATGCTCCCAGACTCCAGACACACTGTACTGGTGTTCTCAGGCTCTTGACCATCTTAGCCTTAGAATACCTAATTCTTTAGGGTGAAATTTCCATTTCTTTCTTCTTTTTAAATATTTTTAATTTGAACCAATTTTAGGCTCACAGAAAAGTCATAAAAACAACACCCAAACTGTAAATTTTTACCCATACTCCCCTGTCATCCATCGTCTTATGTAACCACAGAAGAATGATCATTATCAGGTAACACTGACAGAATACTTTCACCTACAGATTTTATTGGAAACTGCTAATTCTCTTAGCGTTTCTCACTCTTCTTTCAGCCAGCATCTCCTCCTGGAAGCCATCTCTCAGCTCTTTCATCCTCTCTGCACAGAAATCATGCTAAGTGCTGCTTCTAGATGCTTTTCCTTGTACAGCCCTAAAAATGAGACAGGTTCTAATGGATCAGAACTCCAGGCTGTCATGTAGGAACTTTTTCCGCGTTCCACGAGGTCACGGAAGTTTCGGGGAGAGCCAGGAAGAGGAAGCTCTCGAGGGTAGGAAGGTAGAATCCAACCTCCGTGTACAAGTCTGCAACTAGCTTGGTGGCAAACAGTCAGTGTTCTAGGAGAGTTTTTCCACAGCCCTGCCCACAGACTGGTCCTTGGCCTATCCTTCAGGGAAAGCCCTGCCCACTTGACGCCATAAGCACCGCCCAGGGCCTGCGTTCCCGCCCCCTCGCCCTCGCCCTCTAACTTTGGGCATTCCAAGGCCTAGTCTTTCCTGGCCTCAGAAGCTTGTCCCTCCCTTAGAGGAGTCTTCTGCCCCCAGGTTCGAATTTTTTTCCTCAGGCCCCGCCCCTGCCCTCAGGCCCCCGCCTCTTCTCAGGTCGTCCCCTATGAAACGCTGGAATTCTCAGAAGGGCGGAGTCTGAGGTGCGAAGGGGCGGGGCCTGGAAGTGTGGAGGCGCTCCTTTCTTGGAATGTGGACGGAGACCCCGCCCCTGCGCTCGGCAGTTGCCAGGAAACGAGCGTCGACGCTCTGGCTGGGGCCTAGCCGGGCCAATGAGCTGGCACGCCGCTGCCCATCCGTGCGTCACTGGGCGGTTGCGTGAGGTGCGCGGGGGCGCGGGCTGCGTGTGGCGCGGGGCGGGGCGCGGCTGGTTTGCCTGAGGAGCGATGGCGGCGGCCTGAACTCACCTAGCCCGGCCGCCGACAGGCCTGGGTAGGGCAGCGTGGTGCAAGCGAAAGAGACGCGTGAGCCGCGGCGCACTCAGAGGCGCAAGGTGCCGAGGGGATTTGGGATGACGGCACCGGGTTTGGGAATTGCTGGCGTTGAAGGGACAGGGTGAGGGGTTAGCAGGTGGTGAGGGGCTGCGAACGTCTGAGGTAGGGGGGCAGGGGGACAGCCTAGGTGCTGTGGACCAGGAAGAAGCCAGCTAGAGAAGATCCTGGGCCCAG